AGTCCCAGCTACTCTGGAGGCTGAGGCAGGAGGATTGCTTGAGCCCAGAAGTCTGAGGTTGCTGTGAGCTAGGCTGATGCCACGGCACTCTAGCCCAGGCAACAGAGTGAGACTGTGTCTCAAAAAAAAAAAAAAAAAATTAATTGGCCTGATCCATCCTTTACAGTTATGATTAGAAAGGGCTCTCATACAGGTCTTGGTTTATATTTGTAAAGTCAAGAAGGACAAAATTATTGTGGGAGTTTTCTCTGGGGGTTGATGTAGAGGAATATGCCTGAGAGGAAACATTAACCTCTTACTTTGTTAAAATGTTGTGAGATTTTTTTTGTAAAGACTGGTTTTTTTTTTTCCCAAATGCAAACATTTTATAAAAATTAATTGAAATCCATGATGCAGTGAACAAAAAGAGTTTACAGGGGTCAGGCGTGGTGGCTCATGCCTGTAATCCCAGCACTTTGGGAGGCTGAGGCAGGAGGATCACTTGAGGTTAGGAGCTCGAGATCAGCCAGAGCAACATAGCAAGACTTCATCAGTATAAATAATTTAAAATTAATTCATTAATTAATTAAAGTAATAAAAAAAGAGTTTACAGGATAGAAAGAAAATCCAGTAACAGGAAATAGTAACATTTTTGGCAGGAATATCATATAATGTGGGGAGATAATTTTCTATAGGTGATAAGATTTCCGTAGAGTCACAAAGCTAGTTGCTTACTGTGCCACTGTATTGAGAAGCCTTAGACTGGAGCAGTAGCTACCTGCTAAAAAGGAACTCAGTATTGAAAAGAAAGCCAGATGCTTTGGGTAAATAAGTGATTACCTGAATGTAAGTTAGACACCCTTTTGAGAAACACTTGACTCTTGAGGCTAACATTGTATTACTGGAGGTCCCAAATAATTTTGTATGTCTTCCAAAAGTCCTGACAACCAAATCAGCACACTTGTTTAAAATGCAACTTCCACACCCTGTGCTTCTGTGTATTGAAAGGGAGACAAACCAAATAAAATTCCTTTTTCCCCCCATTTGGGTAACAAAGACTCCAAAGGAATGGGGTCAGTGTTCCCTAAAGTTCTTGAAATAACTTTAAAAAATTAAGTGACACCTATATTCATAGTAGCAGTATTCACAATAGCCAAAAGGTGGAAACAACCCAAGTGTGTATCAACAGATGAATGGATAAACAATATGTGGAATATACATAAATAGAATATTTTTCAGCCTTAAAAAGGAAGGAAATTCTGACATGGTACAACATGGATGAACCTCGAAGACATATTGTACTAAGTGAAAGAAGCCAGTCATGAAAGGAAAAATATAGGTACTTACACAAGGTACCTAGAGTAGTCAGATTCATAGAGACACAAAATAGAATGATGGTTGCCAGGGGCTGTGAGAAGGGGCAATGAAGAGGTAGTGTTTAATGGTATAGAGTTTCAGTTTTGCAAGATGAAAAAGTTCTAGAGATGGATGATGGTGATGGTTGCAGCCATCACTATGTGAATGTATTTAATGCCATAGAACTGGACACTTAAAAATGGTTAGAATAGTAAATTTTATGTTATATAGATTTACCATAATAAAAAATTTATTGACCATATATGTGTGGCTCTATTTCTGGACTCTATATGTCTATATCAGTACCACACTATCTGGATTACTATAATGTTATATTAAGTCGCAAGGTAGAGTGTATGTCCTCCAACTTTGCACTCCCTTTTCCAAGTTCTTTTGGCTATTGGAGGTTCTGAGCATTTTCATACAAATTTTAGAATCATCTTGTCAGTTTCTACAAAAAAGCCTGGTGGAATTTTGGTTGAAATTGCATTAAATCTATATAGATCAATTCAAGGAAAATTAACATCTTAACAATATAGAGTTTTCTGGTCTATGAACATAGTACATCCTTTTATTTATTTAGGTACTTAATTCCTCTCAACAATGTTTTTTTGTAGTTTTCAGTGTCCAGATACTGTACATTTTTTTGTCAAGTTGGTCCTTAAGTATTTCATACTTTCTAATGCTACTAAAAATGGCATTTCGAATTTCTTTTAAATTTCTTATTCATTGCTAGTGTATGGAAATACGGTTGATTTTTATAAGTTAACCTTGTATTCTGCAATCTTACTAAAACTCACTTATTACCTTTAGTAATGTTTTTATAGTTTCCATTCTATTTTCTATATGGACAATTATGTTGTCTGCAAATAAAGACAATTTTCCTTCCTTCTATGTGTATGCCTTTTATTTCTTTCTCTTTCCTTATTGCTTTGGCTAGAACCTCCAGTACAGTATTGAATGGAAGCATTAAGAGAAAATGTCCTTCCTTTTTTCCTGATCTCCCTTATGAAAAAACATTCATTCTTTCACCATTAAATTTAACTTTTATCGTAGGTTTTTTTGTAGATAGCTTTTATCAGTTTGAGGAACTTTCTTTCTATTCTTAGTTTGCTAAGAGCTGTTATTAATGGATGTTGGATTTTGTCACATATTTCTTCTGCATCTATTGAGATGATTATATGGTTTTTCTTTTTTTGTCTGTGAATTATGTTGATTGGTTTTGGAGTTTTAAGCCAATCTTGCATTCCTGGGATAAACTCTACTTGATCATCATGTATTATCCTTTTAAAACATTGTTGGAATCAATTTGCTAAGATTTTCTTAAGAATTTTTGCATCTGTATTCATAGGAGATACTGGTTGCTTGATAATTATGTCTTTTTCTTGTTATATCTTTGGTTTTCATCATAGATTGATGCTGGTCCCAAATAATGAGCTGGGAAATGTTCTGTCGTCTTCAGTTTTTCAGAAGAGTTTGTACAGAATTGGTATTATTCCTTCAATAAATGTTTGGTAGAATTCACTATTGAACCCATCTAGTCTTGGAATTTTCTTTGTGGTATTTTTTACTTTTGATTTTAAAATAATTTTAGACTCACAGAAGAGTTGCATAGATAGTGTAGAGAGTTCCTGTTTACCCTTCACTTAGCTTCCCTTAGTAAATCTTACATAACCATGGTACATTTGTCTTTAGTGATGTCTCCCCTCCCCCATACACACACAGAATTCCTATTAGTGATTTATGTCTTCTCTCTTTTTTGGTCCTGATTTGTCTGGCTAGAAGTTTATCAATTTTTAATCTTCAAAGAACTGGCTTTTGGTTTTGTTTCCTTCTATAACCATTTTAAACTCTCAAGTTACTTAATAGATGAAACAAACATAGCTGCTGCTTTTTTAAACCTATAGTTGGGATAATTTTAATTTAAAATTTTTAGATTCTGTTTCACTTTGTGGTTTCCTCATTTAATGACTGCTTTTTCCTTGCTTTTCAGTTGACCAGTTCTTGTGAATTCTTGCCTAGTTTTTAGGAATGGCCTCCAGTTCAGAATATTAGTTCTCTCTATGAAATTCAACATTTAATATCATTTTTGAATGGAATACTGTTCCAGCATTCTAAAGCTTAGTTAGATTTTAAAGACTTTAAGGAAAAAGCTTAGTGGAGTTAAGGCAAAATGGTATATTATATTCATAAATTATGTTAAATAAGTTTCAGTAGACAGTTTGATTTTTTTCCTCCAAAAATGTTTTTCTTATCAGTAGCTGTATTTTTTCACCTCCTTTAAAAATTGTATATGTCTAGAAATTTAAGAACTAGTTTCTTTTGAGTTTTGCGGTTTACACCTTATTCTCTATCTTCAGAAGAATAATACTTACTTAAAATATCCAAAAGTTTCCATTTTGAGAATATTAAAATGGATTGGTTAAGGTGATATATATACTTGACTCTAATAAAGAGAAGGTAATTTGAGAATGTTAATATTTTCTTAATGTCTTGCATTTCCCTTTTGCTATGTTGATAAGTTTATGATTAATAATCAAAAATTATACTTGAAAATTTTTAGTTTTGAGTGAATTTGTTTTTCTATCTATCTCTGTCAATCAGCATTTCATCATAGCCTAAATTCAAAGTGAATTGTACTTTTAGCTTTTCTACAATTAATCATAAAGGTATTCATATTCACTGGCAGTTTAGTTGCTATGGTATTTCAGAGTTTAATGATCAGAACAAACTAAAGATTATATAAACTTTAATCTCTCTGAAAGTGTTAACATTCAGAAGAATTAGGTTAATTGTGTCCACCAGTAAGTACCAATGAAGTAAAGATATAATTACATACTATTGAGTTCCACCAGTACCAGTAAAATGTGGTTTCTTATGATAAATGACTAATCCATATTTAGGATTTAGCTTCATTGTGTGTGTGTGTGTGTGTGTGTGTGTGTGTGTGTGTGTGTGTTTTGTTTTAGTTTGTTTTTAAGTGCTATCATTAATAATATGTACTTGGTATTTTTGTTTTCAGAAGGGGACCATCTGGACCAAGATTTGGACCTAGAAATGATAAAATTAAGCAGTAAGTTCCTGAGATATTAATTTGTTTACATGATCATTATATTTCTACATGGAGCAGGAATTGGCCACAGCCTGATTTTGTAAATAAAGTTTTATGGGAACACAGCCACGCCCATTTGTTTTCATATTATCTATAGCTGCTTTTGAGTTACAGTGGCAGAGTTGAGTGGTTGTGACCAAGTTGTGACAGATTTTATGACGGAATCTTAAATATCCGCTATATGTCTGGTCCTTTAGAGAAAAAATTTGTTGACCCCTGATGTAGACAAAATATAACTACTGAGTTATAAAAACCTAATCCTTTTTATTTTCACAAATCTACCTGTGAATTATAGCTAAGGAAATACAGCATTGTTGGCTTTTCTTAAATTGATCGCCTTATGTCAAATTTACTTATTTAGGATAATCTAAAGGTCTATTTTGGTTTTAAATCTATAACTTGATTTCCATTTTTGGAGTGGTAATATAATCGATTTAATGTGTCAATATACAACATCTTTTTTATCTACTTCCAGAATTTTTTCGTATCTGTTACTTACCCTAATCCATACATTGATCTAAGTTTTATGGCTAATTTTTAGTTTAAAAACTTTGCTATATATATTATTTGGTGATAGATGGATAATTTGCTGTAGTGAATGTATCTAGTGTAGGAAAGATACGAATCCTGACACAAAGGGAGAAGGAATGGACAAAGTGGTGAATCACTTGAGGGAAGGCCCTAGAAACTGACCAAGCTATAAAGACTAACTAGGGAAGGTAAAGTGAATGGGCCATGTCCAGGATCTAAACCAGGATAATAATCACTACCCTAATCCTGGGTATAGCTGGCACATAGTGGGAAGGGTACCATAATGGAGTATCTTGTTATTGGTGAGATGCTTGGGCTTTAGTCAGACACCTATTGGTGTGAAAAATATGTCCATACTTAGCCTAATTCTAACTAATGGATTTAGAGATACAGAACCAAAGTTCCAACAAATTGATTAGAGTACCAGACCAAGTGTATTAATTTTCTATTGCTGTGTAACAAGTTACCATGAATTTAGCAGCTTAAAATAACACACATGTATCATCTCACAGTTTGCTTGGGTCAAGAGTTCAGGTGCTGTTTAGGTGGGTCCTCTGCTCAGGGTCTCACAAGCCTACAATCGAATTGTTGCCACGCGTGCAGGGCAATCTCCCTTGAGTCTCATGACCAAGCTCAGGTGGTTGTTGACAAAATTCACCTCCTTGCAGCTGTAGAGCTCGTGGAGCTTACTTTTTCAAGGCCAACAGAAGAGAGAATCTCTACAGCTTCAAGTCTCTGGTTTGGCTAATAAAAGATACAAGGAGCCACTTTTATCTGTTTTTGCTCCCCCAGACAACATGATGTTGGGAACAAGCCACTTTTAGATACCGTTTATTACTTACATAGGAAAAGGAAACAGTTCTCAGGCTCATTGTCTCACGTAACAAAATGATACCAAAATAAAAGGGGCCAGTGACTGCAGTGTGAGTTGTGGGATACCCTATCGCAAAGGAGCCACTTCTGGACTGTCGTTGTGATAGTTTGCCCACATAGCCTGCAGCAAGTTCATACTTCATCCGAACCTGAGAGGTCGTCAGAAACAGTCTTATGACAGTCTCCTAAGGGAGACAGGGAGTTGAAGGGATCACAGGGCATTCTGCCAAGACTCAGATTAGGTGTGGTTCAAGCCTGTGTGGCACATGTTGGTGCCTGCAAGGGTGCCGATGAGTAATGGCTGAGCCGTTCTCCGACACTGAGCCACAGTGACCTCTGTATCCACTCACATAGTCTTGTTCTCTTACGTCTAAGCTGCCACTGGAGAAGAGGACTCCACTGATGACATACCTGTGTTTTATCCTTCTAGTGTGCTTTGTTTCCTGTCTGATATCCTTCTGCAGAGTGAACCTAGTATGGAGTGTGGCTATTGGGTCTTTTGAGTATGACTTTCCAGCTGAATCCCCAAACCACTACCAGTCCTACAGAGTAGGCATCGAAGAATATATGTCTGTGTTAGTAAGTGCCAAACACACAGACACACATGAATATGTATATCTATATATTAAACTACCACAATAACTTTGGCAATCACAGAATTTTAGAATAGTAAGGGATTGTTGAGTAAGTATAGTGTTTCTTACTCTAGAGCCAAAGGTTTGCCAGATTTAGTTAGAAGAAGGTCAGTCATCAGACACATAAAGTAAACCTTGATGGCCCAACCTCATGGGTGCTTATCTGCACAAGGCATGACTGACTCATCAGTGTGCCCAAGACGGCAGAGCACAACTTACCACACAACTTGCCCAGGGACAAATCCCCAACATTAGGTTAGTACCCAAAATTGCTAGCACTGGACAGTTTCTTTAGTTAAGATATGTTATCACTTCTTGATTTGTAACATTTGAATACAGAGTAAATCTTGACTGCATAGATCAGCATCATTTTTGCTTTGTTTGAATTTGACTGGTTACTCATTATTAATGTTGTTAACAGATTAATCACACAAAAAATATCCAACATCACTTTTTAGGAAGTTTTTTGGGGAAAGATTTTAAATATTCACAAACCTACATAAAATTTATGATTCTCCTTGGAATGTTTCCTTTGCATTTAAATTTAAAATGGGATTATAAATGCCACCCTGGTGAATTGTAGACATTCTGTGTCAGGAGTGGAGAATCTCCAAACTTTAGCCTTGGTTCAACCAGTTTAACGTTTATAAGGCCCCCAGGGAATGTTCCGTGATCTAACAGCAATATATATGTAGTTGCAAAAATACAACATAACTTTAAAACTTCTTTTGTCAACAGTACCTTAAAAGGCCACAAGATGGAGATGTTAACTATGAAAATAAATATTTTCTTTATACGATAAGGGGTGAGTGTGTGTTGCAGAACATAAATTTTTCTCTTAGTGGAAGAGCAGTGACATTTATCTGGCACGTGGTAAGCATTAGGCACTGTGCTAAGTGTTTGAAAAACACTATCACACTTAATTCTCACAAATAAGATAGAGATAATGAGTCTAAAACAGGCTAGCATAGTGACTGACAAAGTCACATAAATAGGAAGTGATAGAGCTGGGTTGCAAACCCAAGTCTTTCTGAATACAGAACCCAGGATCTACACGACAGCACGCAGCTTCCATGTTAATAATTAGAACAGAGACATTTCAGGAATACAGGTGCTGTCAGGCTCTGACAGGATTTAAAAGAGTATTGAAAATGTCTTTCCCTCTCTATGTCTTTATCTTTTCCTGGTTATGTTTTCTTTTGTGCACTTCTCCTATCATTTCAGCCTCCTTTAACTGGCCGTGATATAAACCTCCACTTCTTCTTCACAAACTTGCTTTTCCTTTGAGGTCATAATTTTCTATTTCAGTAAATGACCATCATCTACTACTACTCACATGCTCAAATTATAAATCTAGGAATGCTCTACTCTGTTCTCTCCCCAATCCCTTCACCCACATCCTGTTAATCACTTAGTTCTTAAAATATTTCCTTCTCTTACGTATATTTCCTTAGCCTAGAACTTTCTCACCATCCACCACCTCCTTTACTCTGCTCAATTCACTCTTGACCCCTCAAAACTCAGCACTAGGGTCTTGATGGCATCTCTGGTCCAGGCTGAATTCATTTAGGCTACATGACTGATACCATTTTCCTTCCATTACAGCACTTAACACAAGGTAGTATAATCATGGATATCACTTTTCCCCAGCGTACTGTAATCTTTCTAAATGTCAGGCTCATAACCTTCATATTCATATCCTTGATGAGTAGCATAATATTAATAACTTCTTAGTAAACACTTTTTGAATGAAGAGATATTTATTTCAGAATAGAAAATATTTGTTGAATGTTTACTTTGTACCAGGCGCATTTCACATGACCTGGGAAAGAAAAGGATGAAGCAGTCAGCCTGATTTTAAGGCATTTATAGTGTGTATAATGGGATAAAACCAATGTGAAATGCAAATAGGGAAATCAGATGATTATAACTGCTATGAAAATGTAAAAGATCATGGGGAAGTATGTTATCACTTGTTTTATAAACAAAATTATCTTTCATATTCAAGTAAATAAATAGATCATTTTCTGCTACAAAAGTTTTGTTCTGAGCATGGAAACATCTTGAAATACAGAAACACAATCATGAGATTTTCCATTATTGAGCAAGGGTTACACAGTAGCTGGATTAAGAGTGTCACACCAGCAGATGGTAATGTGTGAAGGAGAAAGCAACAATAATTTACTAATCACTTAGTAGAAAAATTAAAATGTTGAGGAGTTCCCATTAGCAACAGGGATTTATTACATGTGTGCTATGTTGTTGAGGTAACACCTGTAGGTTTATGATAATCCGTAATAGTAAGAATCTGGAATTTTATGGGTTCTGTTCCAATTAATCAGCCTATATCCATGAATTCTTTTGCTTATAGAGATTCTGGTTCTATAACTATTTCTTCAGCTTTTTGTTTTTATTTTAAAATTATATGTAGTATAGTTATATTAATGTTCTTAATAGCTATAATCTGATCATGTGCAGGAACTGTAGAACATTTTGTCCATTCCTGTCTTGCTGTACTCCCTTACTTTAGGCTGTTAATTATCATCACTTGCACATAATGAAAAATAATTATCTGGGGATTTCAAAATTGATTCTTGATGTACAACAGGTCTGCTTCTGTGTTGTAATTAAATGGAAGGCTCTACACTCACTGCTTTATATCTCCTTCTCAAGTAGCTGGATATGCTTTGCAGGATTTGTACCCAAACTATTCACTTATTCACCAAATATGTATGGGATGCCCATTCTGCCCTAAGTACCATTGTAGATACTGGGGCTACAAAAGTGAACAAAATAGGCAAGTTTATTTTCTAGTGGGGAGATGCTGAAAATAAGCATGTAAATAAGTAAATAGAAAGTACCATAGTTACTGGGATAGAGCACATTGTTTCATAGCTCTAAGGTTAATGCAGTACATTCACTGTACATTCAAACAACAAGTTCCATGAGGGCTGGAATTATTGTTTGTTCTGTTCCTTGTTGTTTTCCCAGTGCCTGAAACAGTATGTAGTAGGTGCTCATTAATTATTTGTTGGATAAATTAATTAGTTGCATAGGTATGTGTGCCATTGTTCTTACATTGGGTGAACATCTTTAGCTTTCAGCTTTGGTGATCAGTAGTTGCAATAGGATGTCTTAGGAATTCAGGCATATTTTCAGATCCATTTGGGCAGAAGAAAATTTTGCATGTCTCAGCTTGGTTGAGCATCATTCTTACATCCTTTAGTGGGGTAATGTGTGGGAAGCACAGAACTCTGGGATATTGTGAGTGACCCTCAAATCTATGTGTGGATAATCAGTGAGTATACATGATGCCTTTAATATGGGAGGGAGGTGACTATTAATATTCTGTAGCATAGCAATTGCTACTTGAATCTGAGAGTACTTCTGACTCCACCTATGTCTAAATGGGCCTTCTTTTTTTTTTTTAATCAGCATGCTCAGGTTGAATTCATTTTGTTTTTAAAGTGAATTTTTTGAAGAAATAGGTTAGTGATAGGGAAAGGATAGAATTCTTTTCCGGAATTACACATGACCATGCCTCAACCCAACTTATGGGGTTAGTTTGGCAAATACTGTGGGGTAGAAGGCAGAATAGAGATCTGTATTGTGATAATTTTTTAACAGCCCCCTAGGTGATAACTGACACACTTCTTTCCCCTACTAGAAACACAATTGCATATCTTTATTTATTTAAATATATATTTAATATTGTATACCATCATACATCACTTAACAGCAGGGATATGTCCTGAGAAATGTATCCTTAGGCAATTTTGTTGTCGTGCAAACATCATAGAGTGACTTACACAAGCCTAGATGGTATAGCCTACTACACACCTAGGCTATATGGTATACCTATTGCTCCTAGGCTAAAAACTTGTACAACATGTTCCTGTACTGAATACTGTAGGCGGTTGTAACATAGTGGTAAGTATTTGTGCATCTAAACATAGAAAAGCTACAATAAAAATGCGATATTATAATCTATGGGACCACCATTGTAAATGCGATCTATTGTTGACCAAAACATCATTATGTAACATGTGACTGTAGTTGCTAGTAGTCCTGTATTTTGAACATTTTAGAGTTATAAGAACCATGAGTTTATTTGTCCTTTTAAATATTTCATTGTTGTCACTTATCAAGTAATTTAACATAATGTCTTGTGGTTAGAGCAACAGAAGAAAGCTAGACACTTAATTAAGCACTTCTGTGCTGTATATTCTGGAGGTAACTCCTGAGTGAGAGTAGGTAGCTGAAGACTAATTAATTATTAACTTTTTAAGTTTAGGTTAAATCTTCATCGAACAGTCTGAAATTTGGTAAAAACAGGCCCCTATCCCCTAATATAAGGAGTAAAAATATTTTCAATTTGAAGGACAGCAAAAAGTTTTTTCTTTTTGCTTCCTGAGGGGGTACTTCAAAATATTCCCAGGTGTTCCCCAGTTGTCTTAAGCCCTGTTTATGCTCAAGAGAAAGCTGATGAGCAGTGAAGAATTATACCCAATGAGCATCAGTGTCTCCTGGAATGTGCCTTACATTTCTGTTTTAGAAACTAGATATTTTTCATAAGCTTCTAACATACCTATGCAAACTCCTTTGTTAGCCTTCATATATGAAACATATAGCAAAGTAGGTTACAGCGTGTCTACGTGCTGCCACAACAGCCTTTTGAAAAGAAAATAAAACCGATTGTTTAGAGTCAAACTATTTCACTAAATTCTGCAGTTACTGAGCGTTCTCACAGTACATTTAATTTGTTTATGGGTTACATTACTAGTCAGAAGCAGAGCTAAAAATAAACTATCTTTAAGTTAAATATTACTTTAATTTATATAATGTTGTTTTTAATTATCTGTGTACTCAAGCCCACAAATGGAAGAACATTGCTACAAAGCCTTAAACTTAAATTTTATAGTTGAATAATTCTCTGAGAATTTGCTATTCTCTGTTATGTCTAATGAAAGTCTCAAAAATTGTAAACATTCTTAGAACAATAAATAATTTTTTAATCTTTTTTTGAACTAGTGTTCAGAATCAGGTGGATGAAGTTATTGATGTCATGCAAGAAAATATTACAAAGGTAATTGAGAGAGGGGAGAGACTAGATGAACTACAGGACAAATCAGGTACAGATACTTCATGTATTTCTTGATATTATTAATCTATGTTTTGCTAGTTTATGTCTTCTCTCACTTGTCTAGCTAACATTTAGGAATCTTGGCTTAGGAAATTGGCCTTTGGTTCTTAAGTTTATGATTTTAATGGTTTAATTTTAGCCTCCTTTACTTTGAATCATCTTACTGTTGTATTATTTCTTTAATCAGTTGAGAACGGAGAATGTAGCAATACGTTGTTGAAGAGTTAATATAGCTATTTCTTCTTTTGCCCTATTTTGTTGATGTGCTTTGTGTTTCTCATGATCTCAAGATCTAATCACTTTTTTCAACATTTATTTGAAACTTTTCTGATATTTGTATTTTATGCTTTCTGTGGCAACTTAGTAACTTTTCTTTACTAACAGATGTTAGCCTCAGTACCTGTAACAGTTCCTGGCACATATTAAGCACTGTAATATTGTTGGAATGCTGAAAGGCTGAATACCTGACTAATCCTTGACAGATTTGCTTAACCAAAAAAAAAAACTTGCTGAATCACTTTTAAAATTCATATTGTTTTTCTTTAAAATCACTCACTTTTGATATCTTTTGAGAATTTAATCTTCTCCACATGTAATTTGTTTCCTAGAGATATGCCAAGTATTTGAATTTTTGAAGAGTATGTTCTTACTAGAATTCATAAGTTTATTTATAAGCATTGAAGCCCTGGAAATATTTTCTTAATTTTATAATAAAAATGGATTGATTTGCAGCTGTTTTTTGCTTTTAGTTTTTGTTTTTTTCGCAATGTGGAACTCCAGAGTTTGTGGGTAGAGAAAAGGGAGGATGTTGTTTTCATGCTTAAAAGGGAATACATTTGTGGAGGTAGAAATTAATATTTTCTTGTCTTTGTGTGACTAGATAAAAGAATCCTGTTATGTCGTTTAATCCTTCTCTCCATCCTCTGTGTGATATAGAAAGCTTATCGGATAATGCAACTGCTTTTAGCAACAGATCCAAACAACTTCGAAGGCAAATGTGGTGGCGTGGATGCAAAGTAAGTAAATCAGAAGATACTGGATCGATCGATCGGTCAGCATCTCAAGTGGTATTCAAACACATGAAGAAAAAGGGCCTCTAGAGCATAACCTCTGTGAGGACAGGGACTGCAGCTGTCTGGCTTGTTGTTAGAGCTTTTGAACCTGCCATATGGTAAAAACTCAGTGATTATTTGTTGCATTAATTAATTACTTTTGGGATAGGAATAACTAAAGGAATCAAGTGGTACCTAAAAGGATATTTTCATAGATTTCTTCATAAAAGTAATCCACTTTTTATTAGTAACTTACCTACCTCTAGACTTATTGTCTGATAACAAATATACATTTTCTTACAATTTATTGTTAGTACTTTTTTGGAACAACCTCTATAGCATTATATAGAGATTTTTTTAAAAAATAAGGTGGGAGCTAGAAAAAAATAGGATTTTCTATTAAAAGGAGAAAAAAATAAAAGCAGCTTATATGTCCGAATTTGTTATGGCAAATGGAGTTAAGTAAAAAAAATCCCACTATTCCACATTATTCAAGAGAAATAAGAAATAAAAGGAAAAAAATGAGAATAACTATATACTAATATATTCCTGAAAAAAAATTTCATAGAAATGAGTTTACCTCTTACATAATGTGTGGCTACTCATCATTAAACAGAAAGTGTTTCTTTTAAGATTTTGTAGCAAATTCCATGTCATGTGAGCAAATCTTTTTTTCTCCTGATTCTAGGTATAATTTTTGGCTCTGTTGAAAATCTTAGACATTAACTCATTATTTTCAGTCTCTTATTTTCAAATTTAGCAATAACTTTCTAAATCTGACTTTACCATATGCTAATGATTTCTTCTAAGAGTTGCCTTGGATTGATTTATTTTTGTCTGTCTACTTATTGAATCCTCTAACTTTCAGAAGTAGAACTGAGGAAAGAAACATGTTTCTTGCTCCCGCCTTTTTTAGAATCAAAATTTTCTATTTTAAATTCTTTATACTTTAAAGAATAAATTTCAGTTTCTATAGAAATTTTCTATTTTAAATTCTTTATACTTTAAAGAATAAATTTCAGTTTCTATAGAAATTTTCTATTTTAAATTCTTTATACTTTAAAGAATAAATTTCAGTTTCTATAGAAATTTTCTATTCCGTAGGCTAGTTTGGAAAAACAAAAGGTCCAAGGGCCATTCACCTCTTCGCTCCCTGCCACGTACGTGACTCCATTAATGTAGCCACAAAAAGATGGTCATAATGTGCATTTTGCCTAGCCTTTTTAAACTATATCTAAAGATTTTCATTTGGTACTTTATGGGGTTCGGATCAGAGAAATAGTGTGCTTTTATGGGGGAAAAGCCTATTGAATTATATTTTTAAACGATCTCTATATTACCTTAAGGACCTCTGGGGACAACTAATAGCATTGGCCATGTAATGAAAACCATTGTTTTATAACTTAACAAAGATCATTCAGAGTAGCAAGTATTTCCCGTTTGTTATTGTTTTCTAATACTTAGCTTTCTTCAATCTCACTGCACACCGTTAGTACTTAATTGTTCTACTTTTTATCTGGGGCTGCCGCCCCATGCCTACCATTTTCTAGATTGACTTCCATAATGGTGATTTTGGAAGGATTTTAAGAAAAGGAATATAGGGACAGAAAACAGATAAGGGGTGCCAGTGGTTAAGGATGATAGAGTGGGGTTGGAGATTGACTACAATAGGGCACAAGGGAACTTTCTGGGGTAATGGTGGAAATGTCGTGTACTTGATTGTGGTGGTGGTGACTAACAGCTGCATATAGTTGTTAAAACCCATTAAAAGTACACATTTTATTCTATGTAAAGTGTACCTCAGTAAACTTGAAAAATAAATAAGTGAATAAAAATATCCAAAGGGTGGGGAGAGAGAATCACTAACACCTCTTTTATGTATCTAGAGAACTGTGAAGCTCTTTTATGTTTAATGATAAACAAATATTTGTTCATATCATTTGGAAGAGGAGAGCTTTGGATGTGCATGAATACAATACTGCCATTTGGAGTTGTAAACATTTCCCTCACAGTGTTAGAAACCCAAGGAAGAAAACTCTATTCATTGTGGTGTTTTAAAATTGATATCGATATTTCCATTAAATCTTCCAAAGTTAAGCCTAGCACATTTTGAGTAAAGTTGATAAAATTTTACAGTTTTACTGTAAAATTCCAAATTACTTTAGAAATGTTTTAGGTTAATAAAAAAGGATTAAAGTACTTAATAGCATCATGTAGACCCAGACACCTACTGAAAATTTAGCTCCTATCTCCATCTGTTCTGAGTTTATTTATACATTTTTTGGTTATCATAATTCATAATTTTAATAGGCACTGATTTCCAGATTGCAGAGTTTCCATATATTCTCTGGGTCACTTTGTTATTGTCATGAATGTAATGCCACTAAAATGTCAGCTGTTCTATTTTAGAAACATTTCATTAACTACTTCTGGTTTCTGTTAATATTAGTGATACTCATTACAGTGTTTCATCTGTTTGTAATAACTGAGTATCGTTTTTACTGAGTGAACCATCTTTAATCAATTATTTGTGAAAATGTTTGATGAAAACAGGGCTTGGTTTTAATTCAAGAAAATCAAATCAATTTATAATTTATGCATTTTAAGGTAAATTATGAGTGTGACAATGTTATGTAGAAAGTTAATATGAGCTTAAAATATTAAGCAGCTGACCAAGAACTAATCTTAAGGTTTCTCCTCTCAGCTATTAAACTAACATACAGAATGCATTTAGGCAAGTTACTTACTAAACGAGGTTATTCATGAAAAATATAAAATATATTCCTCAAAATGGAGACAAAAACACCAAGAAGAAAGTAAGGGGAGAAAAAAACTAACAGGATTCTCATATACTTTGAGAATAAGTACTATAAATCATGCTACCTTAGATTATATATATTGAACCATTTGAATTAGCTGTCTATGTTATTTATCATATCCTGACACTTGAACAGAACAAGTTGCTAAAATGTCATGTATTTTTCCTGGTCTCACATTAGAAATAAGCATGTGAAATCATAGACAAAAAAGTCCAGCCCCATGAATGCTTTTTTTTTTTTTTTTTAAAGACTAAGTCTTGCTCTGTTGCCTTGTTGCCTCAGTTAGAGTGCCGTGGCATCATCACAGCTCACTGCAACCTCAAACTCCTAGGCTTAAGTGATCCTCCTGCCTCAGCCTCCCCAGTAGCTGGGACTACAGGCATGTGCCACCAAGCCCAGCTAATTTTTCTATTTATAGTAGAGACAGAGTCTTTTCTCTTGCTCAGGCTGGTCTCAAATTCCTGGCCTTAAGCAATCCTCCTGCCTCAGCCTCCCAGAGTGCTAGGATTATAGGCATGAGCCACCACGCCTGGTCCCCATGAAGGCTTTGATTGTTACTGTTTACTATGCAAGTACAGCCTTGAACAATAAAATCCAGCCAAGCAAAAATCCTCAAATTTGGGGAATTCTGATAATTTACAAAAGGATGCAAAACAGCCAAGCAAGTTCATGTGAAAAGAAATTTGAAAACTTTTCAAGGAATGTGCCTATATATTGAGATGATTTAGTATAATGTGGTGTAAATAGCACAACAGATAGTCTTCACTTTATTAACAGTCAAACATTAATATTTTTGTATGTACTTTTGTGTGTTGTAGATAAAAGCCATCATGGCTTTGGTTGCAGTTATCCTTTTGCTAGTGATTATCAGTAAGTATTTACTGGATTATTACTTCTTGGGGATATCACTTCTTTGGGGGTTCATTGTGATTCCCTTTTAAATTTATTTTCAGTTGACCCAGTATTTATAATGCCAGGATTAAATAATAATTTTTGACCTGAGTCAGGATCCTTTAACCTAGAATCTATAGATCTCTGAACATGTTCTTAACTTGTATGTAAAATTTTATGTGAATATGCAAATACACATTTGTACGGGGAGAGAATCCATATCTTTTTTCAGATGCTCCAAGGGAACCCCTGCCCTAACCCACCCTTACACTCAAGGCCAAAACATTCATTTTCTGTTCATTATTAACTTGCAGGTAAGGAAGTTTGCATTTTGTAATATTGTTTTGGAAGAATAAATCCAGATATATTCTCTAGATTATGGGTTTTTTGTTTGGTTTTTGTTTTATTCTGTTATTTGAGCTTGATTTTAGTCACTAAAGCACAACTCCTGCCCCTCCTTTTTTCCTTAATGTTCTTTTTAAGGTCATTTTTAATATCTCCTTTTTTTCAAGGACTCTTTACCTATGTTTACAGAGATTTTTATGAAGATTTGGAAAGTGACTAAAAATAACCATTTGAAAGATTCTATTATACTGTTCTCTTTTTAAACAGAAAAAAGTTTTGTTAAAAAAAAATGCAGTTGATCCTCATTGTTCATAGATTCTGTGTTTGCAAATTCATTTATCAGCTAAAATTTATTTGTAACCCCTAAATCAGTACTCATGGTGCTTTCTCAGACATGTTCAGAGCAGCAGAAAATTTGATTCTCCCAACGCCTGCCTTCCCAGCTGACATCAAACAAGGCCATCTCTGCCTTTTTATTTCAGCTCTCATAACATAAATATGTTCTTTTTGTAGTGTATTTAATGTCACGTTTTTCGTACTTTTGTGTTTTTTGGTCATTTCACTGTATAAAATGCCCCCCCAAGCATAGTGCTGAAGTGCTTAGTACAGAAGGGCTGTGCTGTGTCTTGGCGGAAGAAACACACGCGTTAGGTAAGCTTTGTTCAGGCGTGAGTTAGGATGCTGTTGGCTTTGAGTTCAGTGTTACTGAATCCACGCTATGTATTAGATAAAATGTCTTTAAACAGAAACACGCATAAAGCAAGATTATGTATTGATCGGTTGACAAAAATGTAGTAGCCAGAGGCTCACAGGAATTTAACCCTGTGTCTTCCCTAGGTGCAGTAGTTCAGTATTTGCTAGTGCACTGTTTATAGTGACTTTCAATTATATGTGTATATGTATGGTAGACAATGTGTAAAATGTGAAATAGCATAAGGAAGAAAATAAATTCAACTATGATCTTACCACACAGAGATAGCTGCCATTACTGTAACTATTATATATACTTCTAGTCTTTTCCTATTATTATATAAGCATGTTTTTAAGAACTAAGATAGGTATACTTTTTAATAAATATATTATGAATATTTTCCCATTGCATTTTTAAATAATATTTTAGCATCTGTATGATATAGTTATGTCATAATTTTTGTGGTCAAGATGCTAGACATTTAGGTTTAGGTTGTTTTATGATATGTATTGCTTCTCCTTTCCCATTAGTTACCTATTTTCTCAGATAAAAATTCAGTCCTTACTACCCCTTTCTTTAAAAGTGAACACAGCTACATTTAGGAATATTGCTTCTAACATAGCATATGAATCTGATTTTGATAAAATTTTTTCATTTTTTTCTCTTACAGTTCTTATAGTTGTGAAATATCATACTTGATTTGATGACAGAGATCTTCATTAAACAAGATCTGGGACAATAACAATAAAAGATTGCTGCATAATTTAAGTGAAACCCATGTATATAACTTTCAAAACTTCTTTTTCAAGAAACTAAGAGGCAAGTATCATTTCAAATTGGAGCATTGAGAATGTCCAATTATCTTCCTTTCTTCTAACAAAATGTGCTTTTAATAATTATGTTTAAGGTGAAGATAACCAACCTCTATTTTTGCCATATTCCAAGGATCTAATTTGAAACTAGATACTTGCCAGTTCGTAATTTGTGTACATAGCTCACCACTGATGACAATATTTCATACTAGCATTTTAACAGCATAAGGACTTGCATTATTGCAGTAAGGTTTGGGTGAGTCTGGGGATCGGGAAGACTATGTAGAGTACAAAGTCATTATGCTGAAAGAGATGCATAACCATCTGTCAATATTTGCACAAATATTCTTTTCACATTGCAGTTGCTTTGCAAGCAATTTCTACATGTTTATGTGTGTAACAAATGCGCTAAATGTAAATGTTGCTGCCTTCAGCTATGACTAAAAACATTCCAGTAAACCTATTTTTGACTGTATAAGGGAATGTGTAGTAATTTTTTGGCATTTGGATTATGGAAATGGGAAATTTAAACAGTGTGAAAAACATAGTATGGCACCATAAAACTGGAGATAATAAAATTATTGAAGAATGTCATTGCAGTGTTTGAAAATGACCAATATATAGCTACCAATCATGGTCCAATCTGTTTTCAGTTAAATTCCAGTAAGAAGGGACCAGTCAGTCCTAATGTGAATAAATGAAACCTGTAGGTAACTTATTCCTCAAATTTATTTTCATTAATAGCTTTTCTCTAACTTCAACTATCCCTTTTACCAAAGTGCTAAAAGTAGCAAAATCATCTGCTTTGAATATTGTGTCGTTGTATTCTCTGATCATCCTTGGGAAGATGCATGTTGCACAATCAAGTGTCAAATCAGCCCACAATAATGAGTAGTAAAAAGTGAAGAGCCTGTGTAATTTACATACAGGCTACTCAGTAACCAAATGCTGGAGAGTCACCATTAATCCCAGCCTGTTTTTATACTGACAAAATGTGTTAACTTTAAAATGTGCCAACCTCTTTGTATTGTTGAAACAAGTCAGAGTGAAAATACATTGTCCCCTAATCTGTAGGAGGAGGAAGCTTTATAATAAAATGGTGATTCTGCAGAAACTTGTGCACTTGGACATCTTGAGTGTGTATATATCCCTAAATTAGAGATACGGTTAATAGAAATTACTAGTATTTAATGGGGAAAAAATGATTCTGTATAGGACTTATTTCTTGGGTCATTTTAATTCAAAATGAAAGAAACATAGAATCTGGGGGTTTTTTTGTTTTTAAAATTCTACAGGACTAGTACTAGGAGGCAAAAATGTTCTATTCAGAATGGAAAGAAATTTGAAGGGAGAAAGCATATTAGGAGACAGTCAAGACACCTGAAGGTTATGAAGATCTAAATATAATTGCTAAATTTTGTCGTTTGCTTAGAGCATTAAAAAGGAGATAAAGGTCTTACATATCATGGAGCGTTGCCTCTTCTCTCCACTCTTTGTAGATGTCAGTTAATGTAAACAGCATCTGAGCCGCTAATAAATCCTTTGACAAAATAGGATACCCAGGAAAATGAGCATTTTTAGAATTTCAGTAACTATTAGCTCTGGAATGGAAATGTTTTAACTGAATGGACAGAGTAAGTCTTAAAATATGTATGTATGCCCTTTGTTTGGATTGGAACTAGACTCGTAAGTGGTTAATTTTCCATTAGTTAGTGTAGAAATCTGGTTTCTCCCTAAATATATCAGTGTAGTTGAAGATTATTTCTTAAAAAGAATCCATATTTCCAGTGTTTCTTTTAATAAAGTATGCCACTTTTAAAGAAATAATTATAAAACATTATAAAGTTATTTTTAAAAATTTTAGTCATAAAATAAAGGAAATATTTATGACAATATTGTATATATATAGTTGTCTTTGTATCTAAATATATTGCTGCTGAGGATAGTGGTGTCACTCTTAGGACTTTGTAGCCGTGGTGGCTTGGTTCACAGTTTATCATTTCCTCTTTCTTCGTCTTGATTAATCTTGAGACCCTTATAAGGGCTGGCATGTCTGTGACTTTATGGTGGTAAACTGGGAGCCGTGAGCCTTAAGATCAAAAACAGAAGAAAACTACGTTGTTCAGCCTGATGCCAGGCCTACCTTCATTCCCTGCCTTCATCACCCTTTTTCTCATTCAGCTCAGATCATCCTGCACTTGAAAAATGAAGTTTTATCACCATCAAAACTATCATTATTTAACAACAATGAAGATCAACAGAAAAAAATCAAGTAGCTTTGCAAATACTAGTTGATACTCAGTGAAATTAGGCCACTATTTTTATGCCTAAATACGTACCCTTATAACTTATGTTTCATTGCAGAAGCCTATTGCCTTGCAGCAATTTTGTGATTATAATACAGATTAATTGGTTCCTCTTTCTGATTATAACTCAGTAATACCTGTGGTCTTTTGGCTTCTCTATCCTGACAGAGATCACTGGAAATTGCTCTCAGATTTTATGAACTGGCAGATTTCTTGATTAAAGGAAAGTTCAATATTAAAGATGGAATATTATCTAAAATGGAGGAAGGATAATTAATACAAATCAGATGTACAAATACCTTGTTAGCTCTCCTGTAGATTGCCTATTATTATAATCTTTCTGTACATTCCAATATTCTACATTAGAAAATTATAATTTCAGCATTTTTATAGTAAAAATTGGCATCTTTCAATTCTGTGTAGCATGTGGTTACCCTGTAAATGATTATACATGTACAGACTGAGGAGGCAGGAATAGAAAGAAATCGAAATCTCTCCTTGTCAATACACTCTGAACATGCTTGATGCTCTGTCAGTGTTGTTCCTCACACTGACTCTGTATTTACATCTGCATATACACTGTGATTAAAACATATGCAAGAAATTGTTTTTCCATGTTGAGAACGAATGCCATTAGAAGATGTCCTTAATTGTATTAAGTCAGAGTATTACTAAGTCAAGAATGACTGTTCTATTAATCTAATTTTGTGTTTTCACATGGAAACGTGATTGGAGTCAATTTTGTTTTTCTGTGAATGGAGAGTAAGAGCATTAGTCAATCCGAAAGCATTTATACATTTGTCGTGGAATGCACCATAGTGCTTATCTTTGTGCAGGAAATGCCACAAAGCAATGTAAAGACACGGTGGCTTCTAAGGAGCTGAAAGGTGCTCTACTTCTTCATCCACTGTTGTTTTTTCCATGTTGTAGACAAATGGCACCATGTTTAAGACTGATGTAGGGTTTGGACCTTTTTTATAAGTCTGATGTTTGTCTTACTCTGATTTTTTTTCTGGACATAAAGTAGAATAAGGGGTGGAACACAAACTCTTTTATTCTGGCATCTGTTTTCTTCTAAGAAGCTGCTTGGAACAAGTCAGTAGGAACTGAAAGAAAAACATGGCGGACCCAGTTACAGAGGGTAAATGGAAGCTCGTGAAAGCCAGGACCGCACTGTGTGTCTGTCTCCCCCAGCACAGTGCCGCGCGCCTGGCAGATGCTGGCCGAGTGTGTGTTGAATGAACGTGCCTAGAAGTCACAGAGACACCAGTGTGCTGCTGATAAGTGAGAGTTCACTCCGTGGCGCTCCCTGGAGAGATGACGTGACCGACTTAAGAATGGGGCGTCTCGCCTTTGCCCGAAGACAGGAGTGCTCTTTTAAAGTAATCGGGTATGGACAAATTCTGCTTTTACAGTACTCCATTAGGTTATTTTAATTTGAAGTGACCTTGTAATCAAGTCATGTTAAATACCTTAAGGCTACCAAGTAAATTATATAAATCAGCAGAGATTTTGGTGAAATGTCAGAAATCAAACTACAGGAAAATCAAGCACTTTATTTGATGTCTCGGGCATATGTCATTATTTTAAATTCCATACTCCTTTATTTAACGGTTCTGATAAGTGCCTTCGACGTTTTAAGGTGTGTGGTGGGAGGTGAGCAAATGTCAATGTCACGTGCCCTGTTCTCTGGCTTCTCACTTCCCCATAACCATTTTTACCAGTGTTACAAAGTTTAGTGCTTTGTGTTAATATCAAATATGTATTTTTAGCGCCTCCATAGTGAATAGTAAAATAAACTATTTCATAGAAAACAAAAATTAAGCACTTTGGCTTATTGAATATGTGTCACCTGTTGCCTTAACTTCAAAGCATATCTTATTTAACAGTAACATTTGGATAATCACCCCTGATTTAATCTGTCCCAGTTCCCAATAAAGTACATGGGGGAAAAATAAGAAAAGGGAAGGTGTCCTATCACCAGAACTGTGCCTGGTAGGCAGCCTATTGATGAAATCTGGGAGGAATTTCTCAGTGTAAAATCAGAAGCTCAGTTACAGAAAGAAAACCACTGCTGGCACACGCATGCCTTACCTCAGCGGTGCTACTCGAAAGAGAGGAGCGCTGACAGATTTCTTGTAAACTTACATGTCCCCGTCAAAAACCCTGGCACCTGTCCCTCAGCTCATGGTGCGGCTTTTCTCTCCAGCCGTGCTCTACCCACAACCGAACTTCGTCTTCTCAGTACTACGGAAAGGTGTGGGCGGGGGATGATACTGGGGGTACGTTTTACCCTGAGGGAGTCTCTACAAATAAAGTGTGTAGTCAGGAATGGAGCTGGGACGGGCCCTGGTAAACGCGTTCTGAGAGCGATAGCATTTCACATGATCCAACCATGGGACAGGTGAGAAAACCAGGCGGGAAGGTCAGATCCTACCTAAATCCGCCAGAGCCAAACTTAGCGAATGCCCATTAAATGCTAAAAACTGTTGCGGATCAGGGAACATTCCCCTGCTTTCCAGCTGCAGATACAAGAAGGGATTTCGACTCGCGGCCAGATGCACAACTGAGCCGGGCCGGTGGCGGCACACTTGCCCTGCTGACCAACGGGGCCAGATCTCATGGGGGGCGGGGGAGAGGTCTAAAAAGATGCATATGGGGCCTGTGCATAACGCTGTAAAAATGAGAGAAAGATAACATCCTTCCAGATCGTTCCCAGCAACATGCAAACTTGCTGCTGCTTATTCCTTCTTAAAAAAACTCCAACTGTGTTTTCCTCACTTCCCCTGCCAGCTTCCAGCCCATGTCCTTGTTCCTCTTTATGGCAATAGTCCTTGCAAGATTTGGCTATACTTGCTGTCTCCAGTTTTTTGTTGTTGTTGTTCATTCTCTTAAAACTTCGTCAAGTTTTGCCCTCTACGCCCCACCAAACTTACGAAGGTCACCGGTGACTTCTGCGTTGCTAAATCCCGCGGCCCATTCTTGGCCCTCATCTTCGCACAGCCGCAGATTCGGTGCAGTTGATTCCTCTGTTCTCCCTAACACATGCTTCCAGGGGTCGGTTTCTTCTTCCTTCATGGTGGCTCCTCCTCTTCTCCCCAGCTCTTAACACTGGAGTGCTCCAGGATTCAGCCCTTAGTCTATTCTCTACACACTTTCCCTTAGTAATCTTACCTAATCTTGTAATTCGAAATGGCATCCATGTGCTGGCAAATCTCAAGTTTGTCTCTTCTTTTGAATTTAGACTCACGTCCAATATTCCGACCTCTTCATTATTATTCGTTTCTA